ATGGAAAGACTATTACAGGTATTTGAGCTTATGATTTGGAAAGGAGCTGTCGAGATCTCTCTCCACTATCCTGTAGTATGATGGTGGCCATGTACAGATTCTCTGACAGCTGTGATTTAAGTAGACACGTGCGCTTTGCTTGGAGGTTAGAATTGTTGCATAAATGCAAACCTTTTTATTAGCAGTGGTATTTTCAAGAAAGAACTGCTGGGCAGAAAGGGGCTTCAGTGTGCACCTCAAATATCCAGTAAGTAGAAAAGAAATAGCTCTTCGTTCTGCTGACTCAGTTGAGGTGCTCTAATAGGTTGCAGGAAGCAGGGAGGGGACTGCCTAATGACTGGAAATAATAAAGGGGTGGAGCGGGAGAGCTTCGTCATAAAATCCCTATTCCTCCACCCCTAATCTGCATGAGGAGTTCCTGCCAGCTGTACGGCTCGGTATCTTTTAACATTGGACTTACATGCAACTGGGGCTGCAATGGGATCAAATTTAAGCTCAAATGAGGTAAGCAAAAGAAGCCGATAGCAAGTGTAAAGTGGGTAAAGTTGTCTGATATTTCAGCTAAGTTGATCACAGAGGAGAACAAGCTGTTTGTGGTGTATGGGCAATCCACAGAAAGCAAGTTTGCTGTTCTTTTAGATCTCATGGTTGCAAGGATGTTTTTCCTAGTCTAGCCTTTTACAGAACCTCATCGCATGTCTGCATGTTTAAGTTATGTTTTAGGGCTAACAATGTTACTCATTGTGCTTCCTTAAGGAAAATCTTCATGTCAGGGAAACGAAGCTGGCACAGAATTGCGATGGGTTTGGTGGTCGGTAAAGCACCTAAAGAGTGTCGTTAATGAGCGTAGTTCTAAATATGGCTTTGAATGTGAGACAGTTTTAAATGTTAGCCTAAAATAAGAGTTTAACATGTAGCTTAGTTTTCTTAACCTTACCTTGTGTTGTTTTTCCTAGACTATTACGAGCACCTCAGCACCAGCAGTGAGAACGGTAGGTGGTAATTAGCTGGCCTTTCATTGCATACTGTCCAGTGCTGAATGTAGATCACTAGAAAAAATGTTAGGAATTCAATGACTCGAGGGAAAACTGCACTGCAATACCTACTGAGGACTGTAAAGCTGAGGTGTGACTTCAACTCTGTAGATGAAATATTGCCTTGGCTTTCGGTAAACGCTAAATAGTCTGGCCTCTGTTGGTGTCTGATACTTATGATGCTGTGAGTAGGTGTTGCACTGTATCTGGGCTGGTTTGTACTTCACCTGTATTTATTTTTTACTTCCTTCCTTTTTTGTGTTTTGATTTCTTTGGATGAAATATGCACTTGTCTTATACATCACTCCTTCATAAGAAGAGTCTGTTTAAATAGGTCTTTCCTAGTGCTCTAGTATTCCTTCTAGTCTTTCTTTTTTTTCACTGTAATGATCCGTTGTAGAGCTCACAATTCTCTGTGTAACACTGTGTTTAAAAACACAGCGTCATAACAGGTAAAACTGTGGAATAAATGTGTTGTGTTCACCCTCCTGACAAGCTCAATCTCATCAGCCTGGTAGGTGCGGGAGCAGCGCCCAAACTTCTCCAGATGCAATAAAAGAGCAATACAGTGTTTTGTAAAGGCTGAATTGAGGATTAATTCTTTACACAGGCAAAAGAAAACATCGTGGGCAATTATTAGAGGTTGATGTTAACAGGTATTGGCACAAAGAATATATATATCAAATAAGCTGCTATAAGGCAGCGAATGGGACCAATGGCAGCGGCAACAGGATGGGGCTGCCTTCAGCAGCTCTCTGGGGATATGTGGTTGGAAAGATGGTCTCTTGCCCCTGCTTCAGTGACGTGGAGGTTTTCAGCTTTGGTTCCACATGGGGAACTGCAGTGATACAGAGATTTTCCCAAATGGTGCTAAATTTGGCCTGCCTCACAAAGGTTTGGTATTATTGATAGTATTTGATGCCTGATTGTGCCCAGGAGCCACTTACCTTCTATGTTCAAAGTGAAATGTTATGGTAAAGACTTTGTAGAGTTTCTTCAAAAAGTAGCTTTTGAAATGATGTTTAGGTCTCCGTGTATAGTCTTGCAACCCTAAGGAAGTATGCTAGGATCATAAAAATTGTTACTTCTAGTCCTGTAAACTTAGCCTGTGTTTAGAGGATCAAGCTGGTTTTTTTTAATCCTTAGTGTTTTTTACTTTGTTAGTAGGTCTGTAGATGTGAGACCTGTACAGTTCAGTGCTTTTAGATTGTGCCTTTTGTCTTTAGGGTATTTAGGGTGGCAGAACTGAATATAGCACATACAATTTAGAGCATGGACCCAAAGCTCCTTCTTTGTACTGGACTCTTTGAGGCTCACATAAATCAGGAAGGATTTTTTTTTTTTACTGTAGAAGTTGTTATTTATGATGATAAATACATAAGCACAGTATATCTGAATTGTTTTTTGTTACTCAATGACTCAGTTAAGGAAACCAGCTTTCATTATCAGAGTTAGTTTGAGGGTAACCCATGGGATATGCATGATTTAAATTTGAGTGGCCACATAAATTAAAGGGAATATGTAAAATATTTGGTAAGAAAATACCGATTGTCCCCTTAAGATGACAGGCAAAAAAGTACTACTTTTTATATTACTCAAATTAGTGTGTCATATCATAATTATATAGGCTAGCATGGTCTTGAGAAGAAGTCAGGTTGAACTGTGGAAATGTTTGTCTTACAGGATTTGGATTTATACTAATATGAAACTCCAGCTTTGGAGTTGCAAACAGGAAGAGGAGAAAAATAATGTGAAAATGGCAGGGTCTTGGAAAGAAACAGATGTTGGATCAACCGATGCTTCATTTGGTTTTATTCTGGAACAATACCAGTAACTTCTGCTGACTTAATAAGACCCAGTTATGGGATATTTTAAAATGGATGAAATAAATATAAAAAAAAATGTAATACAAAGAAAAGTGTTTCTTATGCATTTGACTTTTCCTGAGGTGGTAGACATAGTAAGGTAATGAAATCTTGCCTGCCCTTGGGGCTTCAAAACTCTTTGAAGTTAAAAGGTGCCACATGCCTAACCCAGGTCAGAAACAGTGCAGTGAGCTGTGTTTTAAAGTCCTACCACTCTTCCTGACAGGGTTGAGTGTTTTCTTTGCTGGTCTCCATAGTTTTTAAAGTAGTGGTGAGATTTCTACTCCTTTTTGAAGAGAAAGCTGAGGAAAGAGT